ATTTCTTCGAAATTTACCGCCATCAAAAATATGTCTGATTTACTGCCTAATGAAAATGTTTATATCCAGTTTAGCCTCCTAATGAAGAGCAAGGCCTTCGTTATGTAAATAGGAAGCTTAAGAGACGTTGTTGTACGGCACCTATACCACAAAGACTGGCATGTAAGTGAAATTTTTCATTTCTTTTGGTGACAGTAGACTATTAATTATTTTACAGTTAATAACAATTGCATGGCCAAGTTGTGATTTTGAAGCTTTTCCAAAGAAGATATTGATTTTTATTTCATATATCATTACATTTTAACATATTGGTAATTGATTTTATGGGCCCACTACCATAACCTATTTTTGCTTTGTCAGGTGGAATTATGGAATTGTCTTTGACGAGATTTTCACTATAGTTAACACCTGATGGAATTTGATCAGACTCTGATAGTGGTTTACTTTAGGCTGGAATACGTTTCTTGTACTATTCTTCAAACTTATGTTTTAGAATTGATCAAAGGAATCCATTTGGGTGGAGAAAAGAATTTGCTTTCTGCTTCAGATGAAGAAGAAGGAACTGAGTTGAGGTTTAGATCCTGTTGCACTAAGATGCACATTAGTTCTTTTTCAGGTGGTTCAACGACTCCACGTTTTGATGACAGGGAAATTGAAAACTTGCTTCAGCAGGGATTCCGAATGCCTAAAACACAGCACATGGATTTGGCACTTGTCCCTCTCTTTCCTTTTTTATGCTCATTGAAAGAAACATTATATGCATCTCGCTGTCATAATGGTGCTCATTATATGTGTAGATCGATATTAGCTACCAGATAATGATGAGATGCTGGCAAAATGACCCGGATGCGAGACAAACATTCACTGAATTGAAAAGAGCTTGAAGACATGGGAACCCTGCTCGAGGTAAGACTTGTGATGGACGTGGCAAGTTACCAATTTCCTTTAAATCAACGTTATCTCATTCAGATGTCCTCTTTTCTGTTATACCACCAAGGTTCCACGACCAGCATTGTTAACGAAAATCTCTCTCGGGATTGTTTTTGATGTAATTTTTCACTGATAAGGGTATCAGTATATTTCAGCAATAGCCCTTTAATCTTATTTGATAAGGCGATCGGATGAACGTAAAACTTGGATTCGATTAAGGAATTGTTAACCCTTTGATAATTACACTAAATCCGTGTGTAATTGGCCCTGCACGCTGATAGCGCATTCGGTGACTGCTCTTAGCGTAAAGGAGGCAAAATAGTCTTAACACTTCTGTTAAAATCTATTTTTCCTCTGCAGAGACTGATTAGCATGAAAATGTGGGACAAGAATTTGGACGCAAGAGTTGAAGATCTAGTAGAATAGTTGGGTAAACGTACTCAGGCTTTTGAGGGTCAACTGTTTGAAAACCTCGCAATCAACATGTCAGCCTAAAATGGTCACTGGGTCGGAGACGCCAGTGTTTATTTAGCGGTTAAGCTAATGCTTATAACTGTTCGCAAGAAAGTCGAAACGATGAAATGAAATGTTACTAATGGTTAAAAAGAGCGTTTTCCAAAAATCACTTGAAAGATCTTGTTTTGAAGACTTAGCGGAAGTTTTGTCTTCAAAATTGTTCTTTGCCTGTTTCTTCTTTTTACAAGTAATGTAACTCGACGTTGGTGCTGACACTCGATCAAATTGGTCTTAAGTTCTTTTCCAAAAAAAATTATGAAAGTGGCTTTTAATGTAAGGTCTGAAAATTTCTGAAACGAATCTGTCTGCATGATGATGCCTGGCAAGGAACGTCTGAAATAATAGCTAGCAATCCCATGTGTGTTTATCTTGATTAGGTTTGTAGATCGTAATTTACCTCTGAGGACTGATCTGAGCCAGGCAGCCTCACCTGAAAAGAAAGTAATACAGCTGAATTTATTAAAATGGCTTCTTCTATATTTAAGAGAAATTTATGTTTCACAGTTACTACAGAACAACAGATGTAGTCAATAAATTTCATGAAGTCAATGACAAACACGGTGTACCGTCTGGTCAGTATTCTCGTTTTCTCAGTTGCACTTAATAACAATACGGGACAAATGATCCTTCGACGACCGAGGAAGAGTTGGGGTAGGGGGCAAGGAGCTCCTCGCTTTTCAGGAAATATCCACCGAGCATTTTGGAGGAAATTTGTCTCTGGCCAATGCTGCCAATGCTTAAGTTGTTGAAGGGAAAAGTGACTTATTGTCAAGCTTTTTAAAAATACCAAAAAGTCAAACACAAGATATGTGTTATATCACATTGAACAGGCATAACCCTTAAAGATTTTTTCTTATGTTGCTCATCATGAGGTTGTAATGTTCTTCTATTTCCCAAAGAGTGTAGCATTTTATCTATATATCTGCACCTCGTTAAAGAGGTTATTGCTCATTGTGGTGGTAAGCAAAATAAACTGTCTAATCGTTTGCCTCACGATGTAGTCACTTGACATGTATATCTGCATTTATTCATCATTCCTTTACTGACTCATTTTTCTCTCATCCCCGTGGATTCCCTGCTTGAAAATTACAGGTAATTTATTATGTCAAATTCAGTGTCTGCTATGGTTTCCTTATACTCTTTTTACGTTCTGTATCTTACAATCGAGAATGTTTCCCTAGCTATCCAATGTTTTATTTTGATTGCCTTTTGTTTTTAACATCGTATCACAAACCATTCTTGGATTGTGTTTACCAGCAGCGTCATTATACAATAACAAAATTTAAATCTCTGTTGAGTTATTCTTAGATTGGAACAGGTCATCAGCCTCCTATTTCATGTCGTTGTTGGCACGCGAGTGGGTCTGTGTTTCGAATAGTCTCTTTAGCAGTTTCACATCATTTTCGAAAGCATATCTCACTCGTGGTCGTCGTCTTCTGAGACGTTCCTGATCTCTGATCGGTATGGTGAGGATCTGACAGCTGCGTGAAGAGACCGGCTCCGTTGAACTAAACATGATAGCGAAAATCGGAAATTGCTTATCAGAATTTCCAGTTTGAGTTCTACCCAAAACCAGCATGATATTATATTGTAAGAGCGACGTATGGCGTATATAAATGCCTTCTTACCTTGCCTTGCATGCATATTCTGTCCAATATATTTCCATTTTCAATTCACGACTTGCCAGTGGGATGAGATAGATTCAGACGGTTGGATCGCATACGGTGTTGAATTCAAAGAGAGTCATTGTTAATAAATAGTTGCTCATTTTTTTGTTGTTGAGTTATTAAAAAAAAAAAACCCTATGTCCGCCAAAGCCCGCCCAAACTACTTACCCTCTTAATTTATTTTAATTAGAGGTAACTCGCGTGAAAACAAACCTCGAGTTTCGGCCTCTAAAGAAATTTACAGTTTTCTTTGCTTTATATAGGCGTGTGTCGATATGAATATGCTGGACTCCTTGGCATGTCTCGTAACAAAGAGGTCGATTGAGATTCGCGGGAAAGGTCATCTCGCGACTTCACCGGAGGAAAGGAATGGGTTTAACGAGGACCAAAAATTTTGTCAGGAAAAGCAGAGAGTAAGATAACACTTTTTCGCCTTAACAAACTTTTCTCCCTTCCATTTCTTTTGCCCAGGCCTCTTCAAAGTTTCGGGAAATGTGACAAATTCACCTCTTTTGGGCAGTGCAATACGCGATGTAAACGAAATATGCAGATCGAGATCCTGAGCGAAGTCCTAGAAGAAGGTCAAAACTCTGCTGGCCCTGACACCCCCGAATCATTACGCCTTTATTATTTGGTACTAGCAAGAGCCCATTACTCCTGGTACAAGCATCGTAAAACAGTCTTTTAGCCCTACCTCGCCCACTTTTTAATATTTTGGATTTTCTCTTTCGACAAATTAAACTTGGATAATTTTTTTAACTTAAGAGCGGAAAAAACCCAATTATAAAAATTTGATCCGGGGACCAATATCATTGAAGTGAAGGTATTATGGGGTCAACAACTGGGTTAAAATCTTAAATTTGTCCCACCAGATGGACGAAAATAAAGCTTATTGTGCCTTTATCTCATCATGATCGATTATATCATGGAGTAACTAATTTTTTTTTGTAATAAAATCGGGAATGCCGTTACGCAATGAACGAGTTATCGCTGTCAAACAGTGTGTAGGAAAAATTGGTGCAAACTCTCTTATGTTGAGTTTATAATATATAAATCTAGCCGAGCCTAAAAGCGGACCTCTGGTCAGTGTACTTTTCAGCCATACATTGTAATAAAACTGTTCAGCTCTGGCTGTGAAAGAGGTTGTACAAGGGCATTTAGGGACTGGTCCACCTCGTGTTCGTGTAGCAGCTTCTCGGCTGATTTTACATCGGTCATAGAGGTAAAAGTATCAGAGATGTTTTTAGATGACATGGTTTGCAGATACACGAGGAAGCTGATATCAATTCATCAAGATAGAGGGAATCAGGAAAATTGCTCCCTAGAAAATTGATGCAATTTGATTTTCTCGCACTTCTTGCTAAGTACTGACTGGGTTTGCGCGTCTGGATTGCGTTATTATTTCGCTTGTGATCCGTTTGACTTCCGTTTCCGGCCCCAGGAATAGGGGTACTCTCAAGCATCGCCACAGAGGTTAGATCAGGGGAACCCTACCTCGATTATATGCAGTAGTCCTTAGAAAAGAATCCACGGTTGATAAACAAGAAAGAGGAGTTGAAAACTGTTTGTTACAATTTTTTTTCTATTTGCGTGACTTTCATTAAGTTTCGTACGCATGCGTAATCGATATCGGTGCTATGATTCACTCTCATTCGACACATTCGCCACATTCGCAAGTTTCACGCATGGTTTACTCTGAATGGAGTGTGTATCCGAAAGGAGAGTTTCTCCAATTCATGCAAATGTTCCAAGTGTATAGCTAACATCGAGTTTTCCTCTATAAATAGCACCATTCGACATGTTGTTTAGGCATTTTTAACGACTATGGCCGACAATTTCACGAGAATGATCGTGATACTCGGTCCCAGTCTCAAATCTCGTTTATCCCTTCAAGTGACTTCCGTAGGATTTAAGCATAACCTTCCTCATTGAAGCATCAGCAAAGGTCTGATGAGATGGTGTCTTTCCGTGATTATGAAATTAACTTACTCTTTCTTCTGCTGGTAAAGTTTCACGGGTCAGGTAAGTGTGAAATTTATTCTGCCGGACAAAGGATTTTAAGTGTTCTTTTACCATTAGTCATTTGAAGTTTAGACACCGAAAACGCCGACCCTTGCTTTCTGAACGTGATGTTCGTCAGAATGATTTCCAAACACCAAGATGGCTTTCAAAAGTTTTTGTATTTCAAAGTTAAGATATGATGTTAGGATTACAACCACGAGATAAATGAAGCCTGACTAACTATGATGCGATGGAAATCAAGAGTGTCACAATTTTTCCATTTAAACTCTTTATTCAATAACGCAACAGCTACTACATGACAACATGGGCGAAATCAAAATGGCGGGTCCGATACCACGTTTTTTCCCACAGGTCCGATGGGAGCGCGTGGTATGACGTAATATGACATCCCCCTTTCTACCGATGTAATAATAATAATAACGACAAAAAAAAAATGGAACTTATCATATCTCCAGAACATTACAATACTGGTTGAAAGGATATCCCTCCTGTGCTTATACTTATAAGTCTATTCTTTAGTGTCTCTACTGTTATAGATCCAGCCTTTGTGCAGGTGTCACAGTCCTCCCAGATCTGGTCACATATCCTCCAGCTATGTCTGAGGGTCCCTGGGGGATGTTGTTCAGTGGCACTGTTTCGCCAGATCCTGGTCTGGGGGCTGCACCGTTTTTGTGCGATGTCTGTGTGTGACTGACTGGGGCAAGACTAGTTGTCTGCTGAGGTATCTCAGAACCTTGGTATACTGGGGTTTCCACCCGCTGGCATTGTGTTCCCCTCACTGCAGTTGTGTCTGGTTTCAGTTGGGCCCGTGTTCTTCGATAGGTGGTACCTGTACTGCTGGATCTGATGATGTAAGATCTTGGCTGTTTGGCGGGTTTTACAATAATGCCAGGTTCCCAGGTTTGTGAGTGGTGGTTGTACGTGCGGATGGGTTGGTCAGCTTCGAATGGCTTTTTGGGTGGTCCTGAATGCTGGTTGTAATAGTGGGCTTGTTTCTCCTGACGGGCTATGAGCTTACTTTTCATGACCTCATGGTGAGAGTGGTTGAGGAGGACTCTATGGCATGCTGGTAATCTAGTTTTAAATTTTCTGTTGGTGAGCAGTTCTGCTGGGGATTTCAGCTGGTGATCCAAGGGAGTGGCCCGGTATGATAGGAGAGCAAGGTACGGGTCCTCTTTATTTTCATCGCACTTTTGGAGAATGTTTTCCACGGTCTGGACCATTCGCTCAGCAAACCCGTTGGATTGGGGGTATAGGGGGGAGCTAGTAATGTGTTCTACCCCGTAGACGTTCATAAAATGCTTGAATTCTGCCGAACTGTACTGCGGTCCGTTGTCGGTCGTCAACTGCGTAGGGATGCCGTGTTCTGCAAAGATGCTCTTCAGATGGTTGATAACTGCAGATGACGTGGTGCTTGTTAGTCTCCTGATGACAGGAAATCTGCTGTATTGATCTGTCAACAGGAGGTATTGCTGCCCTCTAAATTCGAACAAGTCCGAACTGAGTCTTTCCCATGGTCGGTGTGGCGGTTCTGGCTGTAGTATTGGCTCTTTCCTTGCTTTATTTTGGTATTTCTGGCAGGGTTCGCACTGGTTAACTTGGTTGATGATTTCCTTTGTAATTCCAGGCCAGAAAACGGATGTACGTGCTCGTAAAAGGCATTTCTCTTGCCCTAGGTGGCCTTGGTGTATGATGTTCAGGATTTCAGGTCTGAGAGTAGGAGGTATCACGATGCGGTCTCCTTTTAGTACTAAGCCGTCCTCGATGGTCAGCTCTTCTCTGAAATTCCAATAGCCATGTAGCAGTTGGGGGCACTCTTCTCTTTTCTGTGGCCATCCTTCAAAGACCATTTCTTTTAACAGAGACAACACAGGATCCCTCCCTGTTTCGTCACGGATCTGTTGTAGCTTTGTTGGAGTTGCAGGGAGATGTTGTGTGACGTGGTGGACATATATCTCTGAAAGTTGACTGCTGCTAGGGGTAGGCTGGGGGCTGACTCTTGAGAGAGCGTCGGCTATTGGTACATCAGGACCTTTTACGTAGTTGACCGTAACGTCGTATTTCAGGGCTCTCATCAAGAACCTCTGTAATCTAGGTGGGCAACTGGACAGTCGCTTCTTGAAAATCGCCTCAAGAGGTTTATGGTCAGTGTTTACTGTACAGTGCTTCCCAAAAATGTAGTAGTTAAATCTCTCTAGGCCCCATACTACACCAAGTGTTTCTCTCTCAATGTTGCTGTAGTTTTTTTCTGTGTCTGTAAGTGCTTTGGAGGCATAGCATACAGGTTGCCCCTGCTGCAAAAGGACGGCGCCTACTCCCTTCTGGGAAGCGTCAGTTTGAATGACAGACTCGATGTTTGGGTCAAAGTATCTGAGGACTCCCATTGATGTGATTTCCTGTTTGACTTGGTTGAATGAGTCGTCGTGTTCAGGTCCCCATACATATGCGGTGTCCTTCTTGGTAAGTTCTCGCAGTGGTGCTGTGAGGCTAGCCAATCGCCCTGAGTATCTTGTAAGGTAGTTTACGAGGCCTAAGAAGCTTTGGAGGTCTTTGCGGTTCTCAGGTGGGGTCATCTTCTGGATTGCAGATATCTTACTGTCATCTGGTTTGATTCCATCCTGGGTCCATTTGTGGCCGAAAAAGCTGACTTCCTGACATTTGAGCTGTACTTTGTCTTTGTTGAATTTGATTCCCCTTTCCCTGGATCTGATCATGAGGTTTACCATGTTCGCATCGTGCTCTTCCTCTGTAGCTCCGTATATGAATGTATCGTCTGCAATGCCGGTGACTCCTTTCAGGCCCTCCAGTGCTGAATCTAAGTGTTTCTGGAACACATCTTGTGATACAATAAGGCCAAAGGGGAGCCGGGTGAAACGGTATCTCCCGAACGGGGTGTTGAAAGTAGTCAGGTAGGAGCTGGCTTCGTCTAATGGTACATGCCAGTAGCCCTTTTTGGCATCAACTACACTAAAGAATTTGGCACCACTAAGCTGTGTGACTACCTCATCAATTGTTTTGGTGTAGTAGTGTTCGCGTTTTATTGCCTTATTTAGGTCACGTGGATCGAGGCAGACTCTGATTTTGGTGACTTCTCCTTTGCCGTTGGTTGTTTCAGAGAGGACGATGCTATTAACCCAGTCTGTGGGTTCGCTTACGGGTGTGAGCACTCCAAGTTCTACCATGGTGTTGATTTCCTTTCTAAACATGTCTCGAAGGTGTACTGGTACGGTACGTGGTGCGTGGATGACAGGTTCAGCATTGGAGTCTAGGGTGATGTGATAAGGTTTCATATTGAAGGTTCCCAGGCCTTCAAAGCAGTCTCCGAAGTTGTTGAAGAAGGTTATCCTGTCCAGTGGGGGGTATGTTTCAGTGTCTAGACGGCTAGGGTATCTGCTGGTCCTTTGGTGCGGTTTGCATGGTCTGTGTTCTTTAAGGCGGGTCTCTTTGTCTTCTTTGGAGGTTTCTAGGCTGCAATTAAATTTTACCAGCTCAAGTTCCTCGCAGGTTTTACAGCCAAGCATTGTAGGTCCTGGTACGTCAGTAACATTGAAAACGACTTCTTTAATGCTGCCATTTTGATGGACGTATAGTGGACAGGTTCCAAGGGTCTTGATGGCGTGGCCTCCATACGCAGTAATCCTGTGGTGTGTTGGGCCAAGGGGTATCTGCTGGGAACTGCGGTTGAGTCTGTCATAGTCGTCTTTGGAGATGACATTAACTTCTGCACCAGTGTCGACCTTGCAGATAATAGGTATCAGGTGTGTATCATGGGGGTCTACCGTGACTTGTATTTCAGTCTTGACTTTGGTGCGTTGTTTTTCTTTTTGTTCAATGCTTGCGATCATTGAGGTACTGGGGCTGTCTCGGGCTTCTAGTGTTCCCAGGAAGACTTTGTCGTAGCTTGTGCATTCACTTGTTACACCATCAGGTTGTTCTTTTTGTAGGGTCATCACATCTGACCTTGTTTTAGACTTGCAAACTTTGCTAAAATGACCGCGTTTGTTGCAGTTGAAGCATTCTACTCCAGTGGCTGGGCACTGCTGGTCTTTGGTGTGTGGTGTGTCTCCACATCTGTAGCACTGTCTTAGGTTGTTGTCACGTCGTCTGTTTCCTCTACCACTGGTGTACCTTTGGTGGGGCTGGTTTCTGGGCTTGTTTCCTCTGCTGATTGCATTGACTTCCCCTTCTTCTTGCTTTGGGTTTGTAGTGTCACTCATTGCTTTTAATTGCATCTGGGTAGCCTCATCAGTTCGTGCAATTTCTTTTGCCCTTGCAAAGGTTAATTCATTACCGCGGGCAATGCATTTTCGTCTGACCTCTTCCGAATCGGTGCCGAAAACTAATGTGTCACGCATGAGTTCGTCATGTAAGTCAGGTGGGTAACCTGAGCTCTGTATGAGTAGCCTTGCTTCAGTCAGGAAGGTGGCTAGGGGACGATTATTCTGTTTCAGACCTCGTAGATAATATCTGTTCAAGATATGGTTTGCTTGTGGTTTAACATGGTCTTCGAATCTTTTCCAGTATTCTTTCAGGTCTTTTTGTTGGTCTTCGGTTAGCGACCAAGTGTTAAATAAGTCTATTCCGTAATCGCCTGACCATAGTAGCACATATTTGCATTTTTGAGTGCCGTCTCGAGCTTTTAACGGTCCATCAAGTAGCAGTTCACACTTTTGGCGGAATCTCTTGAATCTAGTTAATAAATCTGGGCCAGGGGTCCAGTCCATTTTTGGTACTTCAAACCCAACCAAGTCGCTCATTTTTGGCTAAATTGCACGATAAGACAGGACTTTGTAGTAAACACTGTAAAATCGTACGTACCGGTTTTCTTGGTTGTTCTAGCGGTGAGAATTCCTCTATTGGTGTAAATCTATCCCACTTCCGACATCCTGTCACAATTTTTCCATTTAAACTCTTTATTCAATAACGCAACAGCTACTACATGACAACATGGGCGAAATCAAAATGGCGGGTCCGATACCACGTTTTTTCCCACAGGTCCGATGGGAGCGCGTGGTATGACGTAATATGACAAAGAGCGAAGGATTTTATGCTACAAGTGGCAACAATACCATACGTTCAGAATTTAACATCAACATTGAAACTGAGAAGTGAACTATTTTCTTAATTAATTTGAGTCGTCTTCTCAGCCATGAGAAAAGTTTCTGCTTTGTCAGGAGGCTTTCCACTACAAACATGGTGGTTATGCAAACTCAGAAAAGAGTTACTACCTGTACATACATGTAAACTCTCTTCATTGCCATCTATCACTCATTATTGGGAAGAGCTGTTAACAATTTTTCAACTTATTATTGTTTCAAATAATGACCTCAGCAAGGATAATTGCTGTTAGCTTAGCTGAGCGTGACTTTTTTTCCAGGCAGCAATCATTGTAAAGAAACTAAATATAGTGCACTTGGATGGATAATTGAGCATTATTTGCTTATACCCACATGTATGAGTTGTCTACCTGACCAGTTTTTAGCTTTATGCACATATGATTGTGGTATCCCACAGTGGTATTGGTGGGCAACTAACTTTTGTTTGATCAATAAGAATTCCCTACCTTTCTTGGTAGAAGAGTAGTGTAACCAAGGAAACTTCTCCTCCCACTTTTCTTGGGACTGGGGGTCATTTTGGCTCCTTGTCAGCAGTATGGTTGCCAAATAATGACCTCTGGGAGAATGGAATTTGAATCCCAGAAATTGTGGTATTCCAGTTTTAACTTGGCATGGATGCAGTATTAGCAAAGCATAAACATTCCTGTGGTTCTCACTTGTAAAACAAAGTGCCTTTTGGCATGGACGCATTTGATAGCTCAAAGTTCACCCCTCTTTCAACCCAGACTTGGGAGTTGGCAATTTGTATTTTATGTTCTCTTGGTCTTATTCACTATAATTCGCAGCAGGCTTTTTGGTGAGATACTTATTGAAGAGTTAAATAAGAGTGTGCTTTTTGCCTTGAGGAATGCTACAATGTAGGCCTGCCTGCATTTAAATTGTCTATGCATGCTTAAAGTAGCACCTTGTATACTGGCAGTTGTACAGTCATGTGACAAACCAAATTTTCTCAGCTTAATGGCTTACCAAAAATTATTATAGTCTAAAATGGAGACAGGAACATCTTCCTTGAAAATCATAAATCCATCAGAAGTCTCAAGTTTGCAACTGAATCCCTGTCTATAACAGGTTTTAACATGTGTCAAAAGTAAATACACGGTACATGTCAGATGCCCTTAGTATGCATTAGAATCCTGTGCTTTGTATTGTCCCAGACTGCATCATGACTGTCAGCAAGGTGTTGGCAACCTGTCAGTAGAATGTTGGTAGCTTTAGGTTGATTATTGCCATAAAAAGTTTATGATTTACAACCCCTGATAATTGTATTGAAAAGATAAAATGAAACTCTTAAAAGTCTCTGGCCCTTTTATGTGAGTTCAGCAAAATTTCTGGGCAGTTCTCTTCCAACACTCACTTTGGCTCTCAGCCTGGTCGCCGTTTTGGATTTTTAACTTTCTCCTAATCCCCCTCTGAATTTTGCATGGTCTCAAGTAAATTAGTTCATGTCATTTTGACTTTAATATTATCGGTGGCTCCTAAAGGAGTTGTTTGTTTGTTAAAAGAGAGACAAATTTGATTAAAAAATCAATCATCAAATTTGACCGGTAACAGCTGTCCCTCTCATGGCATGTTAACCATCACTATCAGGTTTCACCAAAGTCTTCTCCCACAAACTGCTTCTAGTTCTTTAACGTAACCCACGCTATCATGGATCATTTTACATAAAAACAAGATATATCATTTATACATATACAACATTGAATGCACAGGGAATGCTTTCCTGCCTTTTTAGTTTTGGTGGCATTTTGAGGAATTTCAAGCATTTATAATAAGTTTTACATCAAGTTTTGAATGCAAAAATGCACATATATGCCTTGGTCCGTTTTGTAAAATGTAAATATGGTGTCTAACAAAGCTATTTCACCACCTGTCGCTAACCTGTTGGTTACCTCTCTGTGGCCTGTCAGTTTAGTGTCAGCCAACTGTTGACTGACTGTTGGCTGACAGTTGGCCATCTGTCAGTGGAGGGGAGGTGTTCTTCACAATTACCATATTAGTGACTTTTTGTACATTAAGTGGTTGATTATGGCATAAAATGACACTTTTATCATTTCTTTGCAATACCCTATTCTGTGGAACCTTCATTAGAGGGACCATATCACAGTTGGGCATGAGCATCAAAACGCCAATTCTAACTATTTCAATGAACTGCCATCTTGGATTTTGAACTTCATGTAAATATATGGCTTGGAACGCATCAAAACAGATTAGAATACCTTTTTCAGTGACTAACCAAATTTTCTCTTGCTATATTTTGAACAAGAAAACCTCTATTAATGGGTAATTTGAGTTATGAACACTAAAGGTTGAAGAGATTCTCTTTCGGAACCTTAAGAGTTCACTCACTGTGATAATTTTTACCGTTCACAGCTGTTTTGGAGTAAGTTCATTGTGAATAAGTACTTTTTATAATATTTTTCAGCTTCTAACAAAGGCATTCATAAGAATAAAGTCCTGATCGATATGGTTACTGGTTGTGTTGCATCTGAACAACCATGCATCAAACAACAGTGCCCCACAATTTGTGGCTTGTTTTAATTTCCAGTAGAGATATGTATGTTAGAACAAACCCCCCACGGGTCTCATGTAATGAAGGGACAAAAATACCATAATGCATCATGTTTTTTCATCACATGAAAACAAAGCCTTCAGTTCGAGCATAAAATGTAGAGAAATTAGTACAATTTCATGGCAGAGGGGTGATTAATGGTGCTGCAAATAGGTTCAGTTCCTCCTCTTACAGTTAAGTTGATGCAGGTTGGATTTTCTGGGGTTTTGACCATGGCAAGCTGAGTTATGAGTGCTTTTGTCACTAACCTTTGTTATGAAGGTACTTCATGTCTTATGTGTCACAATTAATTTATGGGATTAACTCAACTTAGTGAGTAATTTGACATTTCTTGTAGATATCGTTTGGTAAATTTCCATGAATTGTGCTTTCTGGTATGAAGCGCACAGATGTGGATTTATATGTCATGAAATTTCTGCCGTGCCCCAGGCTGTCATTTGACCTTTGTACAAAGTCTGTTCTAACCAAGTCCTTTTTCTCTTTTTCTCTTTTTCTCTGCACAATGATGATGGTTAATATTTATAAATCGTATTTGATTCTATTGTGTTAAGTCACTTGAATGTGTCTGGTAATATAGCACAAGTAAAACAAGTAGATAAATATTACCCATGGATTTGAAACATAAATACACAAAATACATGAAATTCTCTATTTAACCTCCCCCCCCCCCCCCAAAAAAAAAAAGGAAATTATTTTCTAGATTCAACTACACACTAGTTGGTTACTTTCTTGAACTAAAATTACCATTCAATTAGTTTTCATTTGATCATCATAAACCAACACCCTTCGAAATTACTGCTAAGGCAATTGCAACAGTCAAACAGTTCAATCAGTATTAATTAATATGACTTCCTGTCCAACTAGTCCACATGAAGCCTTGTGTAATGCCTAACTTTGTGGTGTCAGTGAACTACTCTAGGACAGTTGAGTAAGTGCACATCATCAGGTTGCTGGTTTGTTTACTACCACAGATGCATATAATTTTCTAGTTGCAAAACCAAATTTATCTCAAACCCAGAGTCCTCTTGGCTTTGTGCAGGTGTTGTGCTCATGTTGTTGTTGTCACTCATTGTGCTAAAATTTCTGTATAACAAAAGCAATGCTGCAATCTAGGCATGCCCCCATTCAAGTTATCTTCAAATGCTAAAAGTAGCACATTGTATGCCGATGGCTACATACGGTCATGTGATAAACCAAAAAGGCAGCAACATCTTCCTTGCAAATCATAAATGCATCAGCAGTCTCAACTTTGCCATGAAATCCCTATTTATAACAGGTTTTAACATGTCAAAAGTACATGTACTTCCATACAAATCTTCTGAGCAGAAATTAGTCTTCTTTAAGGTTGGCAGTTTTTGACCTGATGTCTTGTTTCTTTATTAACAGCAGAACAGGTACAACTAGAATCATCTTACAGTGGAAGCAATAGGACTGCAAAACTTGGTTCCTCTTTTGACTTCTCGTGGAACTACTCTGGTAACTTACACAGAGTTGAATGGGGAACGAAAGAGAAGGGAATAATTGCGCTAGATGTCCTTCTATTTATCCTTGATAGAAATGGGCGTCTCATCCCTAATGTATCTCAGTACAATGGCCGTCGTTTTGGCAGCTGGAATCAACATTCACCTGGGCAAGTCATGTTCACTCTAAAGCCTATTAAAGCAGTTGATAACCAGGTTTTCCTCTTCAGATTTGTCCCAAATAACCCTTTGGCTCCAGATGTGTTTGATATGGTGCAATTAATTGTGAAAGGTAAGATTTTTGATTATGTGATGAGTTGTTGTTTCATCATGGAGGGTAGTATAAATTTTCAGAATGGGCAAGTAATGCTATTGAATTTCAACAATTCTGATGGGAAATAACTTCAATGCACGCTGCAAACAAAAAAGTATTCAATGAAAAGTGATGTTGTGGCTTTGCCCTTAATAGAGCCGTCACAACAGTTTCCTCCTTTACGGTGTTGATAATAGGAAAAGTTAAATGCATGAAAACACAGAGTTTAGAGCAGAGAAGGTTTTCTTGATCAAGACCTTTAGGAGGGTTTTCAATTTTTTTGATGGCTGTTTAAAAAATGAACAAACCAAAGAAACTGAAACTTATGTGCTTCTGTTAACTGATTCCCAATAAGAGTATCCACTGCCACACCTCTCTCAGCAACCACCTCTTTATGGTATTACCATATCCTAACGGGTGTCCTTTGCTAACAAAATCATTAAAGCACTATAGAAGCATAACCATCATAAAGTATATATTGTCAATGGAAAGGTTGTGGAATGTATTGTCTAAAATATTGGCTAAAATTGTTCTGTTTTAGCTTGACCTAATTGCAAACTGCACAATGTTTCTTAGAGCGAATTAATCAGGTAACAAATCTGGCCATGCAAGTAAAACTTCTGTTTAATTTCAATCCTGGGGGTTGGTCTTTAAAACCTCGTGGAATTTTCCAATATTCCAATAACAGTTGAACCTGCATTAAGTGGCACCGTATTGAATGGCTGGTTGTCAAAGTCCAAAAATTTGTTCCTCATAATTACAGCAATTTTCATCTCTATTATGAAGTTACCTCTTTTAAGCAGTCACTGTCACCCTTGCCTGAGTCCTGACAGCCTGTCTGTATTGTCTTCCACCTGTGTTGAATGGTCACTTACAGCAGAACCACTCAAATTAAACTAAAAATAATCTTTCATGCAAAATTTAATCCATAATCTCATGAAATCAATATTTTGGTAGTGTTATTGAGTGACTTTTTGTACATTAACCCTTTAACTCCCAAGATCTGATGCTAATTCTCCTCTCTGGCTGCTACACATTTCCTTGTAAATAAGTTACAAGAATTTGACTTCAGATCAAGATAACAACTTTGACCGGATAAGTTTGAGTATTCTCATTACCTGTTCGCCAGGGAGAAGGGAGAAGTTACTTGTTGATCACTGCTGGGAGTTAAAGTGTTTAGTGGTCAATTATGGCATAAAGTGACACTTTTATCATTTCTTTTACTCTATTCTGTGGAGCCTGTATTGAAGGGACCAATTGTCACACTAGGGCATGTCTAAGCATCAAAACACAAATTCTAACAATTTCAATCATCTGCCATCTTGGCACATGGAACACATCAAAACAGATGAGAATACTCCAGTTTAGTGATCGACTGAGTTCCCTGTTGCTATATTTTGAACAAACAAACCTATATTGATGGGTAATTTTAAGTTATGGACACTAAAGGTTGAAGAGATTCTCTTCTGGAATCATAAGAGTTCACTAATGCTGCAATAATTTTACCTTTCATGGCTGTTTTGGAGTAAGTTAATTGTGAATAAGCACTTTTTAAAATGATTTTTTCAGCTTATAACAGAGGCATTTATAAGAACTATGCTTAGGGCTCAGTGCATACAATTCAAATGAATATTAAAGTCCTGATCAATTTGGTTACTGGTTGTGTTGCATCTCAACAAACATGCATCAAACAACAATGTCTCACAATTCGTAGATTGTTTTAATTTCCAGTAGTGATATGTATATTAAGAAGAAATCTGTTGGGATCTCATATGATGAAGGGAGAAAAATACCATAATGCATCAGGTTCTTCATCACATGAAAACATGGTTTTCACTTTGTGCAAGAAATGCAGAGAAATGTAGTACAATTTCAAGGCAGAGAGTTGATCAATGGTGCTAGAATAGGTTCAGTTTCTCCTCTTCTTATTAAGTTGATGCAGGGTGGATTTTATGGGGTGCACGTGCCAGACTATGGCAAGGTGAGTTATGAGTACTTTTGTACCTAACAGTTGAGTTAGCAAGTTTGAAGATAGTGCTTGTCTTATGCTTCACAACTACTTTATGGGATTAGCTCAACATAGTAAGTAATTTGAGCTTTCTTGTTGATATCATTTGTTAAATCTCCATTCTCTGTGCCTTCCTGGTACTTTGCTGACAGATGTGGAATTATAAGTCATATTGTGAAACAATCAGTATTTTTAATTCCTGTGGTGTTTGGCAACATGCTGTTTTTCACATGCAGCTTATGATGGTGCAATTTAGAACTCGGGTATCTTCAATTTTGGAATATTAATTTTTACAGCTGCATTACTTTGTTATTCATAATCTTTGTGATCTAAGCCCAATCAAACTCAGACAGCTGTTAGGTTTATATCTAGGAAGTCTATGGACCAACATATCACTCCTTTTGGTGACCACTGATGCCAATTTATGTCAACTTTCTAAAAACTGGTAATGGCTATGCCAATAGAAACAAGAAGGTGTCCTATGGAATCTCAGGAGACTTGCAGCAAAACATATTTTGCCCTCGGCAGACCTGTAGTTGAATTTCACTGACCAATAATTTTGATTTTGTTTTACTTAAAAGGGGCTTCAGCACACTGTGACAGAACTTGCTAAGGGTTGTTGGTCAGTTGATTGATTAAACCATGAGCCCTTATCTGTTTCAGTTAGAATTTTTCAATTGCCTGTCCTCATCAAATTTCTTTAATCTCTTGTGCTTAGTGCCAGGCTTCTTTTTCACTTTCATCTTAGTACTCCTCTCCTTTTATCTTTCCCCACTCACAGTTTAGTCCTAGATGCAGATAGATAGCAAAGATTACCTTGTGCAACTTGAATCAGATGTTTCTGGAATTATAATTCAATAACAAGGATGTTTTGCTGCAAAAGCCCCTTCTTTTCATTAAGGGTGACACTACAATTGGCTATTCACACTTTGGTGGGCTAAAGAATCCAGTTTGAAAATATGTTTTTGTAAGTAACCTAAGCATTTCAACATGTTACTAAACTTTTCACTGGAAACTGTCACCTTTTTGGAAAATGAGGAATTTAGCTAAATTACTAGTCACCTCCCATGAGGAACCACTGACTGGCATGTGTTGTTTCAGGAGCAAAATCTGAAACATTTTACTTATAAATCTTTTGATGCAATGAAATGTCGTTTTAGTTTGCACACATGTAACACATTATCACAATTACTTTATGTTTCAAACCCTGACGCTCACTTTCACTGTTATGACATGTGGATAAAAAGCAAGCTTGATGAGTTCCTTTATTGTAACCCTTTTGTTTTACTTTTAGGTCCTCCTGTTGTTGAGATCGTCCCTCCTGCACTGTCCACTTTAAAGGGTGTTACAGCAAGTTTTACCTGTAATGTTAAGGGTTTTCCTTTGCCAAACATTGTGTGGATGAAGCAGACTGGTTTGGGTGAAAGTGAGATTTCTGCTAGCGGAGTCAATGTCCAAATAAACTCCCATAATGATTCATCCCAGTTAATCGTGCAGAATACTTCAACCACAGACTCAGGCTATTACATCTGCAAAGCTTCAAACTTCGTATCTAATACTGCAAGAGCCTTCCTTGGAGTTGTATGTAAGTTTCTTCTTGACATGTAGAAACCCCTATGTAAGCTAAAATAGCCTTATAAATGCAACCTTAATCCAGAAGCCAGTACTGGGAAATTGCAGTTTTGCCCTCTTGATCACAAGAGTGTTAGTTGGTAACTTTACATCTTTAAACCCTCTTTTTAGTCAAATGAAGAATTTTTGGTTTGGTTGAGTTAATGACTGCATTTCGACATTATTATCAGTGTAAATGTAAAAGGTATATTAATTGCGCTAGGTACGCAGAGCATGCTAAGTTGAAAAGTTTTGCATTTTAACAATTATCATTGATGACTATTATTTTTATAAATCTACCCATTCTATTAATTTCTGCCCAGTCCCTTGCCGTCAGTTAACCTTTGTGCAAACTCTGTACTAACCAAGTCCCTTTTTTGCCACAATTTGGGCATCGATAAGAGCTGTCCATAAACCCCTCTGCATTTTACACCACATTGCTTTTTTTACTACAATACTTTACATCTATACCACAGTAATACCCAAGTCCATAGCTCTACCCGTTTCCATAGGTGCACTCATGTCCATAGTTACATTTGTGTCCTTAGGTGCATTTGTGTCCTAAGGTGCATTCATGTTCCTAGGTGCATTCGTGTCCACAGACACACCCTTGTCCACAGGTGCACCTTTGTCCTCATGTACACTCTTGTCCATAGGTGCACCTGTGTCCATAGTTGCTCTTGTGTCCGTAGATGCACTCCTACCCGTAGGTGCACCCGTGTCCATCTTTTTAGCTGGATGTGCATCTGAACAAGGATTGCCATTTTATTTTAAGAAGTGCTGAAATTTTTCAGTGTATTTGAAAGCAAATTAAAGTACATCAAGGGGTACCAAGAAAGAGGTTTCTTAATCTTAATTCTTTTTCAAGATCCAGCTTCGTATGAGGATCCTGATTTGTGTCCCACAAGTTTTGATGCAACCAAAGGCGAGTCTGTCCTAATGTGCTGTCCTGTCCAGGGGTTTCCACCTCCTCAAGTTAGCTGGGAACTGCCAAATAGAACTCGGCTTGAAACAGGAAGCACTATTTTGCATGTCACAGTCAAGACTGAGAATGACTTTGGACGCTACAGGTGCATTGCAAGGAGTCTGGAAAAGAATGTCCTAATGGCTAACATCACCATTCATAAGAGAAGTAAGTACAAACTTAAGATTTAGGTGAAACTTGCATCACCTCCTCTCCAGAACATGACTACTAGTGAAAGAATCATAAATTACCCGGCTGGGGTAACGCCATTATTTTCCTATGTTTTGATAGAAACACTTGATTAGATGTTTAATAAATAGAGAAGCCTTGACTGTGCTCTGTTCTGTTGTAAAGCACGCAGGAAGCGGCTAGAGTTAGAAAGAAGTGTTGGGAGAAACACGAGACGTATTGTGATAGCCTTCCAGGTTGACATCTATGCAAATATTATAGGTTACACTTTGATTGCAATTTCTCTGTCAAGGCGTTGACATCATCGGCTAGTCCATGTATTTCAAGACAATATCCTTGGATTCGGTTCCCATTCATGTACTTGCTGATCAGTTCACGACTTTCTTAACATTATTCAATTCCTTGTGACTCAATTTCAGTTTTGTCTTGAGCTTAAGAATGAGTTCCTATTTGAGTAGATCTCAGAAGAAGTTTTCGAGTATCCTTCACGGTTGGTTCTTCTTTTTATCTGTGATCCTGTATTTTCTAACAGACATACGAATCGGCTGTTTCTTTTATTTGTCTTTTGACAATACTTGTTGAAAACGAAAAAGCATCCCTGAAATTTTTTGCGTTCGATGAAGGAGGACGCAGTTCATAATCTTTTGAGTCCTTTGCTTTGAAGAGTGACTTTTTTTGAGAGTTTTTCGTCGATCGTCTGCAGTTTCTGCGACATTTTGATTGAGTTCATACGTCATATGCGCAAAGACAATCGCGCACCGTGGTTTTCGTATTACTCTGCGAATCGTGGAGCGGATATCTAAAGACTATGTCGTGGTTTTCATAATGGTCTATGGATGGTAGTCTGTAAAGCAGATATCTGAAGACTACACGCGGTTCGACGGTAGTCTGAGCTATTATTATTATCAAGGTCTTAAAGGGATGTTCCACTGTCTCTGTAGCTATAAAAACGGTGTATTCCATTGGAGTTGAAGATTTCAATTACACCTGAGATATTACACTCGGTTGTTCTCATTCATTAATGATGTATGATCGCGCTGCCTCACGCTGCGAACAGAGAGGTTGTCAATCTTTTCACTTGTTGGTTTTCTTCGGTGAAGCCATAAAGCGTGACACAAACTTCTTCTCTCAAGATCATGAAGCGGTCTTAGGTCTTAGGTCTCAGTCAAAGTGAGATACTCTGATTGGAAATGGAATCTCGTCAATTTCTCTGCCTAGAGAAAAAGATCAGTTAACGATTGGTGGAGCAAAAACAGAGAGACAGAAAAGAGAAGATAAAAAAATACCCAACAGTTCCTGAGAGATGGAGAATTATCATTTGTATTTGGTTGAAAGAAATTGAAAAAGATTCAAGCGTCAGTGCTTCTTCTTTCTTGTTCAATTCAATGGTGAAAAACTTATCAACTTTTCAGCAACTCTTTCAACAGATGCGGAATTCGTATGGGGATATTACACAAAAATAGTTCGAGATCGTTCTCGTGAAGGACTGCTCTCAATGACACTGTTTTGGACAGAAGAATTAATCTAGGCACAGCATGATTTCTTTGCGAGAAGATACAACGATGATATTTGAAAAATCGTCTCCCAAACCATCAACACCCGATTACGCGACAAGAGGATCATTCAAGAGAATCGTTCAGGAGAATCGTTCGAGAGGGTCATTTGAGATTATAATATTCACACCCTCTTCAGATCTCACTCGTGAGTTGTGAAGAGGGTGTGAGTATTATTCACCTGTGAATAATTCAAGGTTGACTTGAAATCAAGGTTAAATTCAAAAGTTGCCTTTAAAATCAAGGTTGTTTTCAAAAATGCGCCAGAATCCCCGTTTTCTATCTAATAAAGCTCCCTGCCATTGCCAGCTGTCCATAAACCCCTCAACATTTTACAACATATTGCTTTTTTTACTGCAATAATTTACATCTGTACCGCAGTGGGCACATGCAGCCAAAGAGTGCGTTTCATTTTACTCATTTCTGTTTAAGGCAGTGTGTAGCATTCTCGTGTATGCTCTGCCGATTTTCTCTTCTGGATGTGTTGTTAAGGTCCAGGAGACTGAACCATATAAAAGGACAGTCTCCACTGCTGCTCGAAAGAAGTTTCTTTTCAGGTTGTCTGGAAGGTTATATAAGCTATATATATAATATATATGTTATACATGCTATATATATGCTATAATTTTTCAAGTTAAAAAAAACTGTGAAATAATTGAGTTGTTGCACCTGATAGTTTCAAACCTTTTTTTGTTTTTTCATTTTTGTCCTTTGAGTGAAACAAATCACAAAAAAAAAAGTTTGAGATGTGGTGCACATACATGTTTTCAAAATTTCTTCTAGTTCACTTCTCTTTTCCTCTGTACAATGATGATGGTAAATATTTTTAAATCGTATTTGATTCTATTGTGTTAAGTCACTTGAATGTGTCTGGTAATATAGCACAAGTAAAAAAAGTAGATAAATATTACCCATGGATTTGAAACATAAATACACAAAATACATGAACTTCTTTATTTAGCATGTCCCCATTCAAGTTATCTTCAAATGCTAAAGTAGCATGCCAATGGCTGTACGGTCATGTGATAAACCAAAAAGGCAGCAACATCTTCCTTGCAAATCATAAATGCATCAGCAGTCTCAAGTTTGCCATGGAATCCTTATTTATAACAGGTTTTAACATGTGTCAAAAGTACATGTACTTCCATACAAATCTTCTGAGCAGAAATTAGTCTTCTTTAAGGTTGGCAGTTTTTGACCTGATGTCTTGTTTCTTTATTAACAGTAGAACAGGTACAACTAGAATCATCTTACAGTGGAAGCAATAGGACTGCAAAACTTGGTTCCTCTTTTGACTTCTCATGGAACTACACTGGTAACTTACGCAGAGTTGAATGGGGAACGAAAGAGAAGGGAATAATTGCTCTAGATGTCCTTCTATTTATCCTTGATAGAAATGGGCATCTCATCCCTAATGTATCTCAGTACAATGGCCGTCGTTTTGGCAGCTGGAATCAACATTCACCTGGGCAAGTCATGTTCACTCTAAAGCCTATTAAAGCAGTTGATAACCAGGTTTTCCTCTTCAGATTTGTCTCAGATAACCCTTTGGCTTCAGATGTGTTTGATATGGTGCAATTAATTGTGAAAGGTAAGATTTTTGATTATGTGATGAATGGTTGTTTCATCATGGAAGGTAGTATAAATTTTCAGAATGGGCAAGTAATGCTATTGAATTTCAACAATTCTGATAGGAAATAACTACAATGCAGGCTACAAACAAAAAAGTGTTCAATGAAAAGTGATGTTGTGGCTTTGCCCTTAAGAGAGCCATCATGACAGTTTCCTCCTTTACAGTGTTGATAATAGGAAAAGTTAAATGCATGAAAACACAGTCTTTAGAGCAGAGAAGGTTTTCTTGATCCAGACCTTTAGGAGGGTTTTCAATTTTTGATGACCATTTAAAAAATGAACAAACCAAAGAAACTGAAACTTATGTGCTTCTGTTAATGGATTCCCAATAAGAGTATTCACTGCCACACCTCCATCAGCAACCACCTCTTTAAAGGATATGGTATTACCTAACGGGTGTCCTTTGCTAACAAAATCATTAAAGCACTATAGAAGCATAACCACCATAAAGTATATATTATCAATGGAAAGGTTGTGGAATGTATTGTCTGGCTAAAATTGTTCTGTTTTAGCTTGACCTAATTGCAAACTGCACAATGTTTCTTAGAGCGAATTAATCGGGTAACAAATCTGGCCATGCAAGTAAAACTTTTGTTCAATTTTCCAATATTCCAATAAAATTCGAACCTGCATTAAGTGGCACTGTATTGAATGGTTGGTTGTCAAAGTCCAAAAATTTGTTCCTCATAATTACAGCAATTTTCATCTCTTTTATGCAGTTACCTCTTCTCAAAGCAGTCATTGTCACCCTTGACTGAGTCCTGACAGCCTGTCTGTATTGTCTTCCACCTCTGTTGAATGGTCACTTACAGCAGAACCACTCAAATTAAACTAAAAATAATCTTTCATACAAAATTTAATCCATAATCTCCTGAAATCAATATTTTGGTAGTATGATTAAGTGAGTTTTTGTTCATTAACCCTTTAACTCCCAAGATCTGACTGCTAATTCTCCTCTCTAGCTGCTACACATTTCCTTGTAAATAAGTTACAAGAATTTGGTTTCAGATCAAGATAAAAACTTTGACTGGATAAGTTTGAGTATTCTCATTAACTGTTTGCCAGGGAGAAGGGAGAAGTTACTTGTTGATCACTGCTGGGAGTTAAAGGGTTAAGTGGTCAATTATGGCATAAAGTGACACTTTTATCATTTCTTTGTGATACTCTATTCTGTGGAACCTGTATTGAAGGGACCATGTCACAGTAGGGACCATGTCACAGTAGGGCATGAGCATCAAAACACTAATTCTAACAATTTCAGTCATCTGCTATCTTGGACTTCGAACCTCATGTAAATGTATGGCTTGGAACACATCAAAACAGATTAGAATACTCTAGTTTAGGGATCGATTGAGTTCCCTCTTGCTATATTTTGAACAAACAAACCTATATTGATGGGTAATTTTAAGTTATGGACACTAAAGGTTGAAGAGATTCTCTTCTGGAATCATAAGAGTTCACTAATGCTGCAATAATTTTACCTTTCACGGCTGTTTTGGAGTAAGTTAATTGTGAATAAGCACTTTTTACAATGATTTTTTCAGCTAACAGAGGCATTTGTAAGAACTATGCTTAAGGCTCAGTGCATACAATCCAAATGAATATTAAAGTCCTGATCAATTTGGTTACTGGTTGTGTTGCATCTAAACAAACATGCATCAAACAACAATGCCTCACAATTCGTAGATTGTTTTAATTTCCAGTAGTGATGTGTATATTAAGAAGAAATCTGTTAGGGTCTCATGTAATGAAGGGACAAAAATACCATAATGCATCGGGTTCTTCATCACATGT